TCACTTTTTTTTTTTTTTAGCAGAAAAGTGCAGTTTGTTCCCCTGAATTACTGGCTCTGGCTTTTGCTTTGTTGGTGGAGAACTTGAGATACCAGCCACTTTGTTTGTCTAAAAATAGTGGCCAACATGGGCAGCAGGTTTTGTGGATTTCCTGTGCTCTGATTGGCTTATCACTGAATTACAGCGTATTTGTTTAGCAGACACTTATATCCAAAGTGACGTGCAATTACTGTGTCCGAAATGTTTTTGGTACAGCTATACCGCAGATGAGTTGCAATGTACTGCATCATATTTGAAGTTCACAGCGTAAACTTCACTGTCGGTAGAAGTCGAATCAGCTAGAGCCAAGTGTTCCCATTAACAATTCAGCAAACTGATGAGAGATTTCAACTCATTCTTATCCCCAGCGCAGACCCCTGTGGCACACCGCAAACACACTACAAACAATTCCCTAATCTTGAAAGAATTCTTAAATTGAGATTGCAATGAAGGAGCTTTGTCAACTGCTTGAAGCCTTTTTTTGTTGTGCAAAAAAGAAGGAAAATGTTAAGTTAAGGCAGAAAGAAAGTCAGACAGGAACAGAATTTTGCACAAACAATTTACCTGAGGGAAATCAACCTGGCGCGGGGGCGGAAGGAGCTCTGGGACTCGGAAATATTGAAAGAGATCAGAGAATCCCGCGTGGAATCTGTTTGGAACTGCGGAGCGTTGAGGAAGGGAATGTGGCTTTAAACTGTGGTGTTCTCTACAGAACCATTTTAAGGGCTGTGTAAATATCTTTCAATTAAAGAAAATGTGTAAAGAAATGTAATGTATGATGAGCTTCCTGTGTTGATGAGGCATTATTGCCAATGGCTTTTTGATTTTTTTTTCTTCTTTTCCCCCTCATGTCACTGTGTGTAATTTTTTGTTATGTAACTAAGAGACAGAGCATCTATTTCTATTGTTTATATATGTTTTGATTAAAGGGCAGGAAAAGTAAGATTGTTCCTCTTCCCACTCCTTTTTGCTCATGGATCGTGTAAATAGAGTTGTATTTTGAGTATTAACTGCTTTTTCATTTTTATTTTTTTTTCTTGGAGGTGTGCATTACCAAGAACAGAACTAATAAAAATGAAATGAAAAATATATATACAGCACAGAGAATGATGTCATTCTGATTGACTAAAAAATAACTTCTATTTGAGAGAAACTTATTATTCCAACAAGCATTTATTATTGATACAGCTATATTGTTATTGATCTGCCTCGGGAATTCAATGATGGAGGGTCGTGATGAATAATTTGGGCATGGGCTGTGAGTTGAACAGGACAATACATCTGTACTGTATATTTAATGTATGTGATGGCTGCTTAGATATGCATTTCCTGTAGAGCAGTATAGTATAGTTTTGTTGTAGAGCAGAATATTTGTGTGGTATTCAGCAGTATAGTTATTTGCAATAAAGCAATGTAGTTATTTTGTATAGAGCAGTTGGTATTGTATTGAGCAGTATAGTTTTTTATTATGAAGCAAAATAGTTATTTTGTATTGAGCAGTTGGTATTGATCAGTATAGTTTGTTATGGAGCAGTATAGTTGTTATTGAGCGATATAGTTTTTGGGTAAAAAGCAGTAAAGGTAGTGGGTATAGAGCAGTATAGTTGTTTGTTTTGGAGCAGTATAGTTATCGGGTGTAGGGCAGTATAGTTGTTGTAGTTGTATAGTGTTTGGTTATTGGGTGGTATAATTGTTTATCATGGAGCAGTATAGTTGAATGCAATTGAGCAGTATCGTTGTCAAAGAGCAGTATATTTGTATGCCATCGAGCAGTATAGTTTGTTATGGAGCAGTATATTTGTTGGTTATAGGGCAGTATAGTTGTTTGTTATAGAGTAATACAGTGGGGTGCAAAAATTTGGGAACCCCTGGTTTAAATGTCTGTTGCAATTAATCTTCAAGTGAAAGCAAACCTGAACACTAAATGCTACAAAGTTAAACATGACACATTTATGCAAATTTGAAAGCAAGGTTTCTTTTTATTTTAATTTTTCTGAGTTTTTAAATGATAAGAAAGGAAAAAGGGCCCTGTGCAAAAGTTTGGGAACCCTTTTGGATTATTCTTTGTTAACTTTTAAGAAGATGATTACTAAGGTCCAGACCCAGGTGATTTACTCGTTAGGGCTTCAGTGAGTCAGGTGACTGTAATTCCAGGGTTGAACTGTATATTCTGAAGTAACTCCATGCCTTCTGAAGTATCCGACTGTAGCGGCTGTTGTGTCTGGTATTAAAAACCATGTGTTCCTCTAAACAGTTGTCCAAGGATGTCAAAATCAAGATAATTAACTTTCACCAACAAGAGCGGGCTACAAAAAACTCTGGCAACGTTTCAAACGACCCATTTCTACTGTCAGAAACATCGTAAGAAAATGGAAAATAAATGGAACAATTGAAGTCAAGGCAAGATCTGGAAGACCAAGAAAAATTTCAGACAGAATGGCCCGAGATCTTGTGAGAAATGCTCAGAAGAACCCACACATCACTGCAAAAGAGCTGCAAAAAAGAGTAGCAGACACAGGTCTAGTTGTTCACAGGAGAACAATACAGCATACCATAAACAACAAAGACCTACATGGCAGAGTTGCGAGAAAGAAGCCTTTCCCTTGACCTCAACACAAAATTAAGCGTCTGAAGTATGCAAAAGAAAACCTTGAGAAACCTCAAGCCTATTGGAACAATGTGCTTTGGACTGACGAAACCAAAATTTAACTTTTTGGCCAAAACCAAAGAGGGTATGTTTGGAGAAAAAAGGGTGAAGCATTTGTAGAGAGGAACACGTTGCCAACTGTTAAGCATGGAGGTAGATCCATTATGCTTTGGGGTTGTGTAGCAGCTGGGGGCACAGGCAGTATTGTGCGGGGGGAAGGAAGAATGGATTCCACCAAATATCAAGACATTCTGGAGGCTAATGTTCAAAGCTCAGTCCAGAAATTGAATTTGAAGAGACGTTGGGTATTCTAGCAAGACAATGAAGCATACCTTAAAATCCACCAGGAAGCACCTCCAGGAAAGACGGATGAAGGTTTTGGAATAGCCATCACAGTCCCCAGGCTTGAATATTATTGAATATTAAAATCGGTCAAGAAAAAAACCTGGGTGAAAAAAATTCCTAAGACAAGAATTGGAAGACCCTTAGCTGGCTACGGGAAGCGTTTGCAAGCTGTTATAGCTGACCGAGGAGGAGTTACAAAGTACTAGCTGACAGGGTCCCAAACTTTTGCACAAGGCCCCTTTCCTTGTTTTATTATTTTGAAACTGTAAAAAGTTAAAAATAAAAATGAATCTTGCTTTAAAATGTGCTGAACTTGCAGAATTTAGTGTTCAGGTTTGCTTCCAATCACTTGGAGGTTAATTGTAACAGACATTTAAACCAGGGGTGCCCAAATTTTTGCACCCCACTGTATATTTGTCGGCTTTAGGGTAGTATAATTATTTGTTATAGAGTAGTATATTTGTTGGTTATGGGGCTGTATAGCTGTTGGGTATAGGGTAGTATAGTTGTTTATTATAGAGTAGTATAGTTCTTTGTTATGGAGTAGTATGGTTGTTTATAGAATTGTAATGTTGTTGGTTATAGGGCAGTATACAGTTTCAATCAAAATTATTCAACCCCCATTGCAAATTAGGTTTACTGGCAAAATTGACAAACTTTCAGCTGTTTTATAATGAACAAATCAAACAAGAACAATTTAAATGGCTCAACACAACAAATATTGCAAGTGGCTTCTCCAAATTCAACACAAAATGCCACTTTTAATGACTACTGCAGGCTCAAAATTATTCAACCCCTTCATGACAAGCATCTTTAATACTTAGTAGAAAACCCTATTTTCTCCTTTGATATCCTGGTACTTGGCTGAATCCATCTTGCCCTCCACACTTTCCAGGTTTCCAGTGCCAGAGGAAGCAAGGCAGCCGCAGAGCATCAAAAAGCCCCCACAATTCTTCACTGTAGGCAGGGTGTACATTTCAGCATATGCTTCTTCATTCCCCCTGCAGACATTCCACTGATTCATAAGTCTGAAATATTCCAGTTTTGTTTCATTACTCCACAGAACAATATCCCCAAACTTCTGTGGCTTATTTATATGGTTTTGAGTATTGGAACTTGTGGTTTTGGATCAGTCATGGTGTATGTATTGGAGACTTTCAACGTTTAGTGTGCGCCCTACTGTGCAAACTGAAACCTCAGTGCCTCCTGCCTTCTAGTCTTGCTGCGGGTCTCCTGCAGTCACTCGAGGGTTTTTGACCACCCGTCTCCTCAGGAATCTGGTTCCGCTAGCTTCCTCTTTTTGCCACATCCTGGTACTGTAGCCGCTCTTCCTTTAACTCTAAACTTGTGAACTGTGCTTCCAACTGTATCTCTATGAAAATTCCGTGCATGTGCTACCTTTTTGTATCCTTTTCCTTGTTTGTGCCAGGCAATGATCTCCTCTATTAGCTTGTTAGACAATTCTTTTGACATCCATATTTCTTCCAATATATAATCAAATGTCACTGTCAACAAACCCCTAACTAGTGCAAGTATTTGATGTGTTCTATCTTTTTTTCTTATTTTTTTTTTCTTAAATTTGGCATCTCCAATCCCACCCGAATCTGGAATGCCCAATTGGTGAACTATGTACAAGGCACAAGGCTTGCTCGTATGCGACCCCTTTTTGCCAATTCAGGAGAGTGAAGACAGCTCGCGGCTCTCCTCTGAAGCATGCGCCTGTCAGCCACCGCTTCTTATACACTCATTGGTTGAATCTTCGCAAGTTCAGAACGAGGGCGGAGGATACCCGAACATGAACAAGCTTAGAATCTTCCTGACGAGCGCCCGTCTAGCCAACAGGAGGCGCTTGAGCAACAAACAAGGCAACTATTGTTTTCCCTCTCCGGCAGTCCCTTCCCAATTTGCAACCCTGTAGCGCAATAGCCAATTGTGCGCTACTCTGAAAAAGCTGCCGACCACTGCCGGTTGGTACAAGGCGGGATTCGAACCCGCGACGTGACAGTCACTTCTGTTTCACAATGCGATGCTTTACCGAGTGCGCTATCGGGCAGCATTGATGTGTTCTATCTCAAGCAAACCTGATGCAACTTATTAAGCTCTTGATTAGCTGCATTAGGTGTGCTTGAGACAACACCTGATTTGCAAATATGCTCTTATGACGGATTATATTCGGGGGGTTGAATAATTTTGAGACTGCAGTCGTCATTAAAAATGGCATTTTGTGTTAAATTTGGAGAAACCACTTGTAATATTAGTTGATTTGAGCTATTTAAAATGTTCTTGTTAAATCTGTTTATCACAAACAGCTGAAAGTTTGTAAATTTTGCTATTAAACCCAATTTTCAATGGGGGTTGAATAATTTTGATTGCAACTGTAGTTTGTAATAGAGCAGTATATATGTTGATAGGACAGTATGGTTGTTTGTTATAGAGTGGTATATTTGTTGGTTATAGGACAATATTGTATTTGTTGGTTATAGGACAGTATAGTTGTTTGTTATAGAGCAGTATATTTGTTGGTTATCGGACAGTGTAGTTGTTTGTTGTAGAGTGGTATATTTGTTGGTTATAGGACAATTTTGTTGTTTGTTATAGCGCGATATATTTATTGGTTATCGGACAGTATAGTTGTTTGTTGTAGAGTGGTATATTTGTTGTTTATAGGACAATATTGTTGTTTGTTATTGAGCAGTATATTTGTTGGTTATAGGACAGTGTAATTGTTTGTTGTAGAGTGGTATATTTGTTGGTTATAGGACAATATTGTTATTTGTTGTAGATCGGTATATTTGTTGGTTATAGGACAGTACAGTTGTGTGTTATATAGCGGTATATTTGTTAGTTATAGGATGGTATAGTTGTTTGTTATAGGGCTGTTTGTTATGTTGGTGCTGAATGGAGCATCGCAGCTCCTCGTCAGGAGCCCTTATTCAGCTCCCCGGTGCTGTGTGGAATCACTGGGCTGGTGGAGATGTGGCTGGGAGTGTAAATTTTGCGCTGTAATTATTTTTCCGGTTTCTTCCAGTTTTTCCCTGCCAACGTCAGCCAGCCATCGAGCCCCTGAGCTCTGTGTTTAAATTGCTCTCAGCCCTTTGTGTTTTCTGTGTTTCAGTCTCTTCCTCTGATGGCACTCTGCCGCTGTTCCTCTCCTTCATGTGTGCTGTATCTCTCAGGCTTAGGAAAGGCTCTGTGTGAAAAACAGGCAGAACCGACTCAGCTTCTCTGGACTAAAATGGGGCACCATGTGCTTCTGGTGATCGTCTGTGTTGGATGGTGGGCGCTTGCACTGTTCCTGCCGCTTGCAGCTGTTATTTTCCCTTTTTTCGTGAATGGGACACCAGTCTTGTCGTTGTCACAGTGACGTCATTCCCACTTGGTCACCTGGGTGAGTTTGATGTTTGTTCTGTCGGAGCGCAGATGTTGGGTGTGAAATTTCATAGCTCCACTGATTAGTTGTTGAAATGTGACAAAAGGAGTTGTTCTAAGTCAGATGTTTTTTTTTTTTTTTTTTTTTATGGATAACTTTAGACCAAACTTTCAAGGATTGATGCTCGCAAACTTCAAACTGTCTGCGTGTATGTGCAGATAATTGTTTTTCTTTACTGCCTTGACTATCTGGACAATACTTTGCATAAGTTATTGAGCTTGTTGGCTGCGAGGTAAGAAAGCTGGGTCTGGAATTGGTTTGAATAGTGCTGCTCTGTAGTTAAGTTTTTCTTAGGAGCAGGAAGGTTAACTGCACATGAATGTATAATTTGCGGTTAAATGATTTTTCTGGTCAGCATTCATCAGTTCTGAGGAGCACGCGCTCCTAAACTGGTCAGATCCCAGCTCTCGAATTGGGCTTTGAAAAGTGAACACAGAGCACAACAGTCTGGCCTCTTTACATTTTAAATATCTTTTTTTTTCTCGCTTTAATCAGACTGATAAAAAGAGAGGGTAACCAGTGAGATGTGCACATGACCAAGTCCCCTACTCCCCTCGTCTGGGCAAAAATGTGCATTTATTGGATGTGTATGGTGAGATGTGCTCAGCTCTGAAGCTCTTTAACTGACGGTCACGAGTGGCCTCCTTTTAGCCCATTAAACCTACAGACCCATATATGCAGCTGCTGTATTCAAACCTGCTCAGGCCTATTGTAAATTCTAGATTAGATCCTAAGGTTTCCAATGATCCCAAATATGTCCTGCTGAATTAGAGGGAAATGTGTATGAAATGATTACAAGTTGTAGATATTTTCCATTTGATGTCATACTGCGGCCATAGAAACATGCGGCCCTGTTTTGAATATTTCTCTCAGTATAAGTGTGATGTAGCTTCAGTGAAGTGCTGCAGCCCGCAGATACAGAATATGCGGCACTGTCCTACTGCATGAAAGAAATGTTTTTAGTGACTTTGAACCTACTTGAGGGAAAACTGAAGTGAAAAGTTAAGAGTTTAAGCAGAAAATAGTGTGCCTCCATCTGCAAAGCTCACACTGGACTCTCAAATACACACTTCTTTATTTTTCTGCCTGAATTTTGCCCTCTAACTCTTTCCGTACTGTTTTAACTGGTGACACCATAAAAAATTTAAAATACTCTGCATGTTCTGGTTTAGTGTGCTTCTGTATAGATTTTTCATATCATTCATATTTTTAAAATTAATTTTTAAAAGTAATTTTTTTTTGCCCCTATTAATTCTAGCCCTTTTCTGCTGATCCAGCAGATTTTTTCAGCATTTTCTCCTCTCTTATACTTTCTTATGGAAACTCCTTCCAACTTTCCAAATGTTCAGCTTATTATCTTCATTTTTTAAAAATATATTTCAACTTTTCAAATATCTTTTATACTTTTATACAGTTAAATATTTTTAAAAACTTCTTTTCTTTACAGTGGCAGTCAATGAGAAGAATGCTGTAACCCAGCTTATTGGTAAGTCTTACAACTCATTTATACATTCTGTTAGAAACTTAAAACAGGTCAGCTTTAGTGGTAATTTATCGGTGTTAAACGGTTTTGATTTCTTTAAAGCTGTTGTGCGTTTAATATCACACTTTTACTACAACCTGAATAAAAAGACGCCTTGTGACCGAGAACGGCTAGTCCGCGCAGTCATTGTTACCACAGGTGCCCAGTGTCACCAGTTAGGCTGTTCAAGTGTCGCGCCTGCTGGGGTTTCGGTCAATCGCAAGTAAAGCAGGTTAATGTATGCGTGACATCACTCGAGGGGATTTCGCAAAGTTCCTTTCAGGTGCAAAGCCATTTTGCCTTATAGAACACTCAAATAGTTTGGAAATTTATGTAAATTTAGCTCTACCTGTTGCTTTTTGTTGACGTGTGCTCTGGATATTGTATTGCGGAATATTCCAGGAACGTGTTTCCACAATGGTTAATCGCTGTGTTGTTTATGGATGCGGCAGTGAGCCGAAAAGTGAGGTAACCCTCCACGAGTTTCCCTTGGACAAAAAGCTTCGGGACTCATGGAAGAGTTTTGTGTGTCGTACGCAGAAATACTGGGCAGGACCAACAACAAACTCGCATATATGTAGTGCTCACTTCACGGCTGATTGTTATATACTCTTTAACAGTTGCTAAGGACCAAATGATTTTTTCATTATTCACAACAAACAGGTCACATACATGCACAATGTAAGAATAGATCTGAAACAACATCCAAACGTAACATTCACTCAAACGCAGCAATAGTCCTCAATGTTAGAACAGCATGCGGAGCTCGTTTAATGAAAAAGAGCCACTTTGCATGTTCAGAGACTTGGCTATAAAAGAGCAGTATTTCAAATGCCTACTTAATTTTTTGCTTGTTACATGTAGTGACATATTGATATGGCCCAACCACGTAGTCAACGACGCCATTTGACAACCGAAGAGTTATCCCGTGGTATGAGAATGCTGCAACAAGGGAAACCCAGCGTGACGTTGCTAAGGAACTTGCTGTTAGCCATAGTGTGACCAGTAGGGCCTGGAACCGCTGGCTGACGTTTGGAAGCGTTGCAAAGCGTGATGGTGGAGGTTGTCCAAGGTCAACAACAGCACATGATGACCGTTTTATTGTTTTACAAGCAAGGAGAGATCATCTTGTAACTGCATCACGTCTGAGATCTGACCTGTTGGCCACACGTGGAGTCAACGTTTCCACCCAAACCATTCGCAGACGGCTTCATGAGAGGGACCTCCATGCCAGAGGACCCTGTATTCGGATTCCATTAACTCCAGCTCATCATTGTGCCCGTCTTGAACGGGTGAACGATCATGTCCAGTGGACTGTTCAAGACTGGTCACCTGTGCTGTTCACCGACGAGTCCAGGTTCTGTTTAGATTTCACTGACAGGCGCGTAAGAGTCTGGAGAAGACGTGGTGAGCGCTTTGCTGACGCCAATGTTGTGGAACATGACTCGATATGGTGGAGGATCAGTTATGGTGTGGGGAGGCATTAGCTGGGAGGGCAAAACTGACCTGCATGTTCTTCAAAATGGAACCATGACTGGTACCCGGTACTGAGATGAAATCTTAGATGTCTACGTCCGACCTTACGCTGGTGCTGTTGGGGACACCTTCATTCTCATGGAGGATAATGCCTGGCCACATCAGGCAAGGATTGTTGAAGAATACCTTGCACGCGAAACAACTGAACGGATGGAATGGCCAGTACGTTCCCCGGACCTCAATTCTATTGAACACGTGTGGAACATGCTTCAGGTGGGCCTGTCTGACCATCCACTACAACCAGGAACCGTGCAGGAACTTGGCGATGCCCTCGTTGAGGGCTGGAACAGGATCCCTCAGAATGACATTCAAACTCTACTTGCCGGCATGCCCACTCGTAATCAAGCTGTGATTGTGCCAGGGGGTCCCATACACATTACTGACATCAGTTACTGAGTTACCTTTTGAGATTCCTGTGTCATTCTCAGACGTCATGGTTTGGTACCCTTTTGTTCGCTGGCTTACCTGGGGAATTATGGGTATCAGACAGTTGAAATTGTTCGAGAACTTTGCCGAAATATTCACTGGTTTTTTTTGTTTTTTTTTTTTTTTAAAGGTTATTTTT